GAGAGAGAGAGAGAGAGAGAGAGAGAGAGAGAGAGAGAGAGAGAGAGAGAATCTTCCCACAGGCTAGTAAGTCCTTAAGCCTAGTATCTGGTACTTTTCATTCTCCAAAGCACCCTTTCACATTTCATTTAATTGTATCCTAAACTACTTTCTCAGAGTCACTAGCTTCTAATGGTGAGAACCAAAACTTAGCTTTAGTTTAATCATATTTTTTAAATCATCCATTTGTTCCACCCATGGATATTTATGAAGCACCTCCTACATACCTGAGATTGAAGCAAACACTGGAGATTTTAACAGTAAGCAGAATAACTACTGTCCCTGCCTTTGCTGAGCCTGTAAATCTCTAAAAGATTTATTGAGAACCATCTACATGCCAAAAACACATCACTGCCTTCCAGGAAGTCAGCATCGCAAAGAGATGCTTTCCTGGCTATTCCCAGAAAAGGTGGTGTGAAACTTGAGGGTTTGCATTTCCAAGTTTTAGGAAGCCAGGAGGCAGAATACAAACCAGTTGAGCTAGTTCCACTTTTAGGTCTATTTCTGACTCTTCTCCTACTCTTCTTTGGCTCCATCTTATGAGGCCTCAGTTTTTTATTTTATGAATGAAAGGCTTGGATGAACCCAAACAAATACCTTTAACATCCCCCCATTGCCAACTAGATAAGTAAATAGAATTCTCTTAAAAGCAAGCTGGTCTGGCTCTAAAACAGCTAGCATTATGCCAGTTCTCAGTTTCTGAATTTGCCTGGAACCAAGTACATATTCACAGGAACTTCTAATTGCACCAACAGCTTTTGTGGGCAGAAGGTTGCAAGTCTGTGAATGATTTACATGTTGTTGAATTAGGCTGCCCTGAGCCAACACTGTGTTCTAGTAGTGCTCCTGTCTGGCGGAAGGTTAGTTCAGTTCATCAGAAGCTATGCTATAAATATACACTTCTCTAAGAGTGCTTTAGAAATGAAGTCTGTATAAACATGAAGCAAGTGTCCTCTGAAAGCAAAAGGCAAACACTGAATTGACATTCTAAGAGAGAAAAGAGATGCTCTGGCCAAAAGAAGAAAGGAATTAAAAGCCAGAGCGGTGGCTCTGGGGACTTCCGTTGAACTTGGTAGACTGTTACACTCTTTCTGTTGCCAAGTAGGAGATGACCTTGGAAGCTGACCTTGCCCAGTGGGAGAGATCCTCTTCTGCTTGATCTTTGGGAGACAGACTCTTGCCTTAACTTCTCCTGGGATGTTTGAGTTCAACCTGTTCAACCATAGTTCAAACAGTACTTCCCCCAAGAAAGGGCCCCTCCATGGCCTTCCTGGGGTGCAGTACACTCATCTTTATGGACATTGCTCCCCTCAGGGAGGTCTTGCCTCCCTAGGAGCCTGATGACATTCAGCATGGCTCAGCAGCCCCTGCAGGATCTACATGGGGCCTGACCCAGAACCTGTGCTTCATTGACCTTTGTTGAATTTTAGTAGGAAACAGCCAGGCAGGGCTGGAAAATTTCTTTGAATGGCCCAGGGCCCTGCACTTATTTAAGTGCCTTGGAAACATTAACTTACTAAATCATCCTAACAACATCAAGAATGCTCATTAAGTGAGGAGGTAGAAATACTGAATGATGAAGTAACTACAGGATCAAATATCTAAAAAAGAACCCCATTATTCAAACCCATATGATTTTATCTTCTGGGGATGAAAAAGGTCATTAGCCTGTCTCGACCTTGAATCAACTGAGTCTTTGTGTATAATGAACTATTTTCTTCAGTTAAAGAAATAAATTCTAAGTTTAAGGAACTCAAATACCTCAGATCATGGAGGTAGCTCTGCTGAAGGGAAGGAAGTGGATGTAGGTGGGAGGGAGCAAATCCTGAGACTCAAGGAGGAATACAGGGTTCCTGTCAGACTCCCCTGCATCCAAGGAAAAGCCTGTTGGGGGCATGGCCTGGCACTCCTCTTATAGGCCCAGCCTTCATCCAAGGCATGTGACACCACATCCAGCTCATAACCAGCACCCCCAGCTGGCAACTCCCAGCTTGCAAGAGCTATTCCAGGACCACTGTGGGACCCGGACTCTTAGCTGTGGGGCCTCCACCTCTAACAGAGCAAATATACCACTCCTGCATCTCTCCATGGTAACTGATGAATTCATGATGCATTTTGTAATTACTTAATTACAAATTTAGAAGTTTAATTTTTTCAGTGACTTTTTTAGTCTCTGTATTTATTTGATATTTGTATTCATTTTGTGTCTTAGGTAGTCCTACAGACTTGAGCACTTTGATCAAGAAGAAAGGGCCCTTGGGGACCTATCCCACTGCTTGTCCCTGTCCTGTGTCTTCTTTGGGCCCATGGTAAAAGGGTTGTTTCTCATAGTTTCCATCCTATAGACATTAGGGAGCCCCAGGCCAAGACCAGTTGTGCTGTTTCGGTGCTAAGAAGTCACTTGTAAGGAACAATTTAAGGAAGGTTAAGCCAGGGGCTTCCACTTTTTCTTTCAGGCAGAAGGGAGTTTCTGCCTGACTCAGCTTCCAGCTGGTGACCTAGTGTCAGCACAGAACCCCCACCTGGCTCCCTCCTTACCTCTTTCAAGATGAGGGCTTCTGGGCTGTGCCTGTAGAAAATTTCTTTGAATGGCCCCAACCAGCTCTCAGCGATTCGGACCTTGTTCCTCAGAGTGGCCTCCACATCAAAGGGAGAGTGTGCTTCCTGATTTCGGTAGATATACCCCACCCGCGAGCAGGGAAGGATCTCAACGGAGCCACCACAGAGCCAGGCCTGCCATGAGGAGAGAAGGTAAACAACTTGACCCTACCTCTACTTCCTAAAGCAATCAGGTAGAAAGGACTCTGTCCTTGAAGGCTGGCATAGGAACTCAGAAGCACAAAATGGCCACAGTCATTAGAGTCTTTAGGATGGAGTGTTCAGATCTGGGAGTTTGGACAGGGGAATGGCAAAGTGGGAGGAATGGGGGATTTACATCAGGGTGGATGGAACTCAGGGGTGACAGGCCTATCTGTGGATCCATCTAAATGTGCCACCTTTGAAACTCAGGTGCAGATCCAGCACTTAGAGAGATGAACCACCCGTAGGGGATTAGCAGCCCTATTCCCCAAAACGTGCTTCCCAGGGACAAAGGTTCCCTTGGTGGTCAGGGACTTTCTAAAGCTTGTGGAGCCTCAGGCTGTGTAGGCACCTGAGCTGTGTGTGGTGGAAATGAAAGCAAGCCTTCCTTAAAGAGCCTTCATGACTTCAAGAAAGTCCTTCCTGCTCTCCCATGATCCTTTGCACTCAACCAATGCCCAGTGTTCCTTTGGCAAGAAGCTTTTTGGTCCACATTTGGTGACAGAGGCTAAAGTGAAGACAGTGGTATGAAAGGCAGCCTATAAACTGACAGACACCAAGGCTAGGGGTCTCACACTCTGGCCAAGGTGCCCCAGGGCACCTCAGAGAATGCAAAGAGCACCAGGCATATTTCTGATTTTTTTTTTTTTTGAGTAAAACAGTGACATCTGTTGGACCATGTGCAAACCACAGTGCTGACATCATTCATACTGCAACATTAGCTAGCTGTCTGTACTTCTGGTGTTGGATGTCTTTGCTGGGTTAAGGCTTGGGAGGCTGCTGTGATGTGAAGCAAGTTATCATGCTAAAATCAATGTGGAACAGAAGACAGGGGTGGTGGGTGTCCTACCAGCTTCCAAGGTTTAGAACTAAAACAAAGCCCTGCACATGCTAAGCTGTTAGGAGAAATACTAAATAAGTAGTTAGGGCTACATTTTTCAATACACAGAGTAGTTTGGTGTATTTTTGGTTTATAGATGTTAATTAAAAAATTATTGAGGTGCTAGGAACGTAAAGGAATCCATGTTGTGAAGTGTAAATGACTGAATGTGTGCCTTTGTCTGATGGCTGGTTTGCCTTTCTTTCCCTTCCTTCCCTCCCTTCCTTTGAGACATGGTCTTAGTATGTAGTTCAGGCTGGCCTTGAATTTACAGTGATCTTCCTGCCTCAGCCTCTCGAGTGCTGGAACTATAGGCATGCATCAGTGTACCCTGAATAACAGCATATTTTGAAAGTCAAATTCATGAAGTACAGTGAGGGTGAAATCAAGATACAGCACAAGAGAGTTGGGAAGGGGGGATTGAAGGGGCCTATGACCCACCACACTGCAGTGACTTTCCGAATTACCACACCTTCAGCCCCTACCCGTTGGGCTTCTGATGGCTGCTTTCGGGCTGTGACCACACACTCTACTGCAGAGATCCCACTGGTGTCCTTCCTTGGTTCAAGACATACCTTGAAGGATAGTTCGAGGTTTTCGCCACCCCTCAGTGACATGAGAGGGTCATAAGCTCCAGTGTTTTGAAAGTAATGTCTGTCCATGGCCACTACCTCTCTGGGTACTACTGGGCTCCTGCACAGAGAAGACAGGCAAGAAACTGCAGTTCAGAATGCGGAGTATGGCAGGCACATTTTGGGGCCGGGGGCTTCCTAGGTGGGGGATCCAGTGGATGAAAGGGTGGACTCTAGGCTCGGATGAATGTCTAAAATCCAAGTATTTCATAGAAAGAAAACTAAGGTTATCTGGGCCTTTTAACCCTCTGCTCAGGCACTATTCCTGTAGGGAGGACCCAAGGTCTATATCTTGTGCTCCTGGGCCCTCAGGCTCCAGTCTTTCTGGAGAGGTATTTGGGACAAGGGCCTTAAAATAAGACACTCCAAGGAGGTAGCTCTGGGCCAGGCTGAAGGACATAGGCATGATGTTTCCTCTTTTCTCTTCCCTCACCCTCTTCAATTCCTTAAGGAGTGATTATCCTCCCTCAGGGACTCTAGAATTAGATAGGTCTTCACCTACCCTGGTAGAAATACATGTGACTTATAAGCAAAACAAACTAGAAACGCTGAATAAAGAAATTAGGATGACCACACTATCCTTCGGAAGAGCTTTATGCACAGAAATGTAGCCAAAAGTCTTTTAAATAGTCCCTTCATTCAGAGACAAATTCTAATGTGGCTGAACTCTGGCTATATCTCAAGATATAAGTGCCTCAGAGTGCAAATTTTAACATGATAGGTGAAATAGTGTTACATTAATAAGGCCTTCAGGCTATTAAAAATACCAAGTTATACTAGAATACTGAAAATTCATGTTACAATGATTAGTGGACCAATTCTCCACCTCTACCACTCACCCCTTGTACGATCTTGGGTGAGGTATGTAAACAACTTCCCTGATTCTCTGAGGTCAGTTTCCTCACTGCCAATTGGAATAAAATAATATTTCATACTTGGTTTTTGTGGAGAGTATAAGTAATGCGTAGAAAGTGCATGGAATTGTGCATATCACATTTGAAACACAGGACTTGGCGCTTTCCAGGCAGGCACTTATGCCGCTGAGCTACCTCCTCGGCCTGAAGTTTATAAGGGAGCACACATCGTTCACTATGTGCCAGTCCCAGTGGGGTCTGGGCAGCATTATTTAGCCAAATTATATTCAATGAAAGAGACGATTAATCCTGCTGTCCCGTTTGAGAGTTCATCAAGCATAGAATCTGAGAACTTAAGAGAATAACTTTGATTTTTCTTCTTTAAGTTTGAGGTGGTTTGAGATATCTAGATCAGCCACTTAAGGCACTGTCCAAAAATAAAGTATGTGAGACGTAGCCAGTAAGATTGGATATATTTTGAGACTTACGGTGCCCCAGCATCCACCCAGCTGAATTCCTCCTTTTAGCTGAACAAACTGTGGCCAAAGAGTTGCCAGCACCACCTGGTGAGGGACCCGGATCAAGGTCAGCTTCTTCCTTTTTCCCACAGTGGGGCATCCACTGACCCTGGAAAGGCCTCCCTGGTTTCACTGACCTCACACAAATAATAACACCATGTTCTCCCTGAGTGCCTGCAGTCCTCTCAATGCTATTCATTTATTAATAGTTTGGTTTTCTCAACAATCAACAATCAAGGCAGGTAGTATTGTTACTCTCCGTTCCCCGTTGAGGGAAATGACCCAGACCCAGTGACATGTGAGGGAATCGTGGTGCCAAGGGCAGGGCAGGCTGGTTCCCCAGGCTCACCTGATGGGGCTGATGGGGGACAGCAGGGCCTTCCTCTCTTGCTCTGGCAAAGGGTCCCAGAAGAAATCCAGCTTCCAGTCCAGTACCCCCCAGTGCAGCTCCTCGGAGGGACGGTACTGGAAAGTCTTCCAGTCAATCATGTGTATGACCGGAGCTACCACACGGCTCCTGAGGAGAGTGGAGAAGTCAAGGGAAGCAAGCCATTCCCTTGCTGGGGGTGAAAACAAAACCTATGCATGTGACATCTGTCATGGCAGCTACCAGCCCCTGGGACCTGTAGGGGGCCTGACATGCGCTTCGTTTTAGCTAGGATGTGATGTGAGTGTGAACTACACACTGAGCTTAGAAGACTTTGTATGACATGAAGGCTGTAAAAAATAATAAT